AGCCCTCCCCAAATGTTCCATGAAAGTTTACCCCTATACCTTCCTGACACATCTTAGGGCAAATGTGACACAAATGGGCCTTGTGGGCCCTTTCCACCCTAGAACCATCCACCTGATCTGCATATGAACGTTTCCTTCCTTTTTCAGGTTAAAGAAAAATAAGTTTCAAGGGTTAAATGATTTTTTTCCTGAAGTGGATGAAAGGCTTGCTTTTCTAATGAAACAAAATGAAGTTGTCACCCAGACTTTGCAGCGATTCAAAGGTATGAGCTCAACTGGTAACATTTAAATATGCGTCTAGGGGCAACTTTCCAAACCGAGAGATACATTGCATGCATATAGGAACAGAAAGGAACCTTAAATGCAAGTTCTTAAAAGGAATGATCTGTTTTGTGGCACTCTAGTTGCTCTTTCTGAAGATAGCATTTACTTATTTGAAAGACGTGAACCCTGCCTTTCTATCACGAGAGCCTTCAAAGCAGCCTGCTGGCAGCTGGGGTGACAGAGAGAATGGGAAACAGAGAAGGTGAATAGCAGCAGGACAGGCCTCTGCTAGGGTTGCTTCCAATCAGAGCAGAAAATATTGGCAAGATGCACGAGTGATTGACCTGAAGCTTGGGTTTACACATTGCTTTGAGCCACAATGTGATTTAACCCATGAGAATCTGGCCAATGATGACATTCAGCAAACCATGGTTAGAAAACCATAACTTAGTCATTGTGGGCAACCTTTTTTCTGTCAAGGCTTCCCCAGGGATCAGCTATTGGGAGTCATTTGCTAGGCACCAGATACCCACACACTGATCTCCCCCCCTCCTTTTTCCCCTGATCCCCTGCATTTTCCTTGTCCTTGTGGGAAATGGAGAACTCTTACCTGAGAGATGAAGTGCTGTACTGCAGAGTGCTTTTGAAATCAGGTAGAACCAGAGGTAGCCTAAGCACAATTACGCAAATTTATCCTGAGTAATACAATTTGCTAAAGTTCATGCATACAATCCCCTCCCCTCCCCTCCCAGCAGCAATCAATAGTCTTTTGGGCTCACTTAGATCTTAAAAATTTAGTCTAATGGGATAGTTTGGCATCTAAAAATAACCAACAGTACCAAGTAATTTCACTTGTTTTCTATGGGAGGCCCCCATAGAAAAGGTTCTCTCTCAAATTAGTCTAGGCTTTAAAAGTGAGTGATTCTGAAAGATAGTCTCTGAAGCTGTTTTCAGCCAAGGAAGCAAATTCTGCCATAACTTTACTTGAGTCTGATTTCATGCCATTTGAAGTAGTGGAGTTTCTCCAGAGTGACATTGATAAAATTATGTATTGGTTCTGCCATTATTTTGTTGGAAAACTGAATAAAACTATGTGAATAGGGCTGGATATTGAAACTTTGAAAGGTAACCTACATTTCTTTTGGGAGGATTATCACGTTTTGGTTAATCAGGTTTAAATAATAAGTAGAACATCAGAACCAAGATTGCATGATATCGGATAACTTTTGAAATTACGCATTTGTAATGCCCGCTCTTTAAGCTTTTGGGCCTATTATTTACAACAAAGAATTTTGTGATGTGCATCTGGCAGAACCTGGATCTCTTTCCTAGTTTAAATCAACTCTGTATGCAGCACAAGACTAGCGCTCTTTCAAAAGTATGCTAAACCCATTTCTGTAAGGTACCCGGATACAACATGACAAGCACCTTGGAGAGCCCTGGTTGGACATTATGCAGGCAGGTGCCTCTGCAGAAACCAGATCCAGGCCAGGCCTAAATGGCCATAGAGGGCAGTTCACAGCCACTGCGGAGAAGGGGACGTGCCTCCAGCAGCCTAAAGTTGCCAGCAGGAACTGGCAGATGCCAACCTCTGACTTTGTGAGCAACCAAATGGTCAGCAAAGCTGCCAGAGCAGCAAAAATGGTGTTAGGAAGGTAGGGTAAACATTTTAAAACTGCAACAGCTAAGGACAACTTTAAGAAGCCTCAAGTATGGTCTGGAAGGAGACAAAGCCAACATCCTGAGAACATGGCAGAAAAAACATGATTTATCTGGACACGTTCATGCCATCGTTAGGTGGAAATGAAGCAGCACATTTATTACTGCAGAATCTTTTGTGAATTACAGTCACCTTCATAGATGCATGGAATATAATTCGGTTGACAAGCCTTTGGAAATAATTATTTGTTTTTAAAAAATATAGGTACATACTTCATCTATATAAATTCCTAATTTGTCTAGGGTAATGTTTAAAAAGCAGCATTAGAAAATAGAAACAAGAATGAAAAGACCAATATTTCTGGGAATTAGTGGCTTGGAAGGTTGATGTAAAAATGCACATATTCATGCCCAGGCTGGGGGGGCATTTGTATCCTAAAGAGTCAAGTACAGTATTTCTTCTCATTGTATTTTTATGCCGAGAAAAGCAATATACATATTTCTCACTGTTTAAAGCAACCTGCTTGTCAGTAATTTCATTATAAGAAAGAGAGAGACTTCCAATTTACCTGTGACCATAATATAGTCATTAATTTGGTCAAGCTGTTGCTTAGCCATGTTGTGTTCATTAGCAACCATTCTGATTTGACAACAAAAAAGTGCTTTAGAACAGTGCTTAGCAACTTTAAGCTGCGTGGACTTCAGTTCCCAGAATTAGCCAGCTGCCAAGGTTGAGAAATACTGCTTTAGAGCACGCTCCATCTTTTCCCAGGATTGCAGTTGACTTTCTGTACCTGGCATACAATCCTGAGAAAAGCTCTGTGCACAGAGTGGTGTTGTAAGAGTGCCCTTGTGTGCTCTAAAGTACCTTTTTGCCTTCAAATGTGGAGCACTCCATTGCCCTGGCGCTAGTATTGTCCCTGGTGTTGCAACTGTTTTCTATAAAATCATAACTTGATTACTTCTTTCTCTAGCTATTCTATCTTCAGAACTACAGAAAGATCTTTATGAGTTTCCAACAGATTCTGAAAAAGAAACAGAGAGTGGCAGTAAGTTTTTCCTCCTACCACAGTTCTGTAATGGGAAGGAACTAATAGCCAGAAGTGATGTGGGGTTTTTTGCACCCTTGAATATTCAAGGCCCCAACCCACATTTATTTAAAATCAACACAGGAAAAGAATAAAATCCACTGAGATACAACCAAGTATCTTAAACAAATACATCATTTTTCTTTATCGTGAGATTTGAGACATATTTGGGGGGTCATCCAGGCATTTAGATTTGTGGCTTCCCCTTTACCTCATCTTATATTTGAGAGTATTAGCTACTTAACCTCAAGTTAGTTATTGACTTGGGCAGCACATGAAGCCACAATTGGATCATGAAAGTTTCAGATTGTGATTATGGGCCACTGTCCATGTCCACATAACACACTAAGCCAATGGTATGTATATCAGAAGGATAAGCTTTTATGAGCAGCTTAATAAGAACTATGAATGGGAGTGAAAAGGTGTGTTTGCATATATTATAGACACAGAAATGTCCTAGCAAGCAAACCAAATTAACACACCAAAACAAAGAATTGGATTCTCCTTTGCCAGATGCATGAACAACAGTGTGTGGGAAAGGATAGAACCAGAATAAAAGGAGGAGTGGAAGTCATGTTTATGCAGTTAGATTTGACCTGGGTTAACAGAGGGGGGAGATGGTAAGGAACTGCAGTGGATAGAGATGGAAGGGAGGTATAGAGAAAGGAAAAGTTACATACTCTACTGTATTGTAAACCCCATCTACCTTGAGTTCTACATAGTCTCAAAGGTGCTCAAAGGTTGTTTTTTTTTTAATCCTTAATGTTAAGGATTAATTTTAAGTCTTTTCTTAGAAGAAAGCTTCCCGTCTCTGCTCTACATAATTCTGAAAATGAGCTCTTGAGGGTTCCAAGGTCAAAGCAAGCTGATTCCTACAGGATCAGCCTGTAGACATGCATTTTTCTGCAAGCAGAACATGTTGACAATCTCATCTGGAGTTTTGACCACATACATTAAAGTTCACATTACAAATTACATGTTTGTTTATTTCAAGCAGGGCAGGTTTTTTTTTTTAATTGTTTAGGGCTTATCTTCCGCCATACACACCCTCCTTTCCAAGTCCCTGTAGTAAATATAAAGTAGTAACAAACCCAAGAGGTGGCAGTCACTTTTAGCAGGTATTTTGATCCCCTACCCCTGTGTACTAACAGATCTCTTGTTTCCACCAGATGTTCTACCATTTGATAGGAAGCAGGAAGAGTCCAGCTGTCCTGCTGCAAAGAGAAAAGGGTTCTACCATTCTCATCTTCCAGCCAAAAACAGGAAATACCAAACTGCAGTTGAGACTTCTGATTGTGCCCCAGAGAGCAGAATGCATTCCTCACCATCTGAGCAGCCAGTAGAAGACAGTAAGTGCATGACGAGGCTTTTGCCTGTATTTTGCCCTCCTTTCTCAGCTTTCATTAAACAATAACAAGTAAGCAAATGTATCTGATGTAAACGATGGGTGCAAAGACTAAGTTCCCAATTTTTGTTATGCCCCCTTCCTCCATCAACTTAGTGTGACAGTGTAACTAATGGTAATTTCATCTGCAGACATTAGCAGTTGAAAATATCATGATAAGCAGATGTAAAGGAAATATTTTTTATCTTCTTAAATATGGGGAGCAGAGTCTGCAGGAAAAATCTCTCAATAATCAGCTTCAGCATGTGCTGTGAAATAAATACCCAAGATTCTGCTCAGTTTCTAATGTTCTTTCTTCTCTTCCTGTCTAGCTAACACGAAGAAACATCAAAAATCATCTCAATGCCCACTATCTTAGGTGGAATTATGTACCAAATCCTCGTAGTGATACTTCAGTAGAAGCAACACATCCACTGTGGTATCTTCTATATTACTTAAAAATGCTTCACATCTGTGTAAATCTGCCTGCCTTCTCCTTCCAGACTACTTTGCTATCAAACATCAATAAAGGAGTGAAGAGAAGATCAATATATAAAATGTTTGGATTTGTCTTGTGCCTTTTAGGGTCTTTTCCCACTTGTATTTATAACCACAGCAGAAACTTTTCCAGCAATTTCTTTTTTTCAGCCACATCTTCCTAACGTTGGGTTCATCTGATCCGCAGGCAGCTTAAAGTTGTCCTTGGCTCTTCCAGTGTTAAAGTAGCATTTTCTCCTTTAAGCAGGACAGAAGCTGTGGCCCTTTTGCTGGGGTTGCAGTCTGATCTATTTCACCAGCCACTCATTTGGTGTTACAGCCAGGTGATAACAGCACTTAAAACACAGCAGTCAATACAGTTCTTTAATTACAGCTTACTAACTTTTCTTCAATAAAGATTACTTATTAATGTTGGGAAATTTGTCTAATTGGTTCAAGTCCAACCTACTGCAAGACACCTGATGATCCCAAAGAAGCCCAGTGATCAGCTGATATTGCTGATAATTCCCTTTGAATGCGCCCATGCAAAGCCAGACCAAAGCATGTTTTGACTAAACTCAGTCTAACTGTCAAAACTTGCCTCCTCCTCTCCTAACCCAAGCCGGTCCCAGCTTTTCTTAAGAAAAGTGATTGGTGGATGGTTTCCTGTTAGCTGCTGGTTGGGTGGGAGGAGGTGGTGGTAGATGTCTTTGATACACTCTGTTCTCTACAAGGAAGTACAGCTCCATTCCCAGCATCACGTCTATGGTAGGATAGGGATCGCCAGTGATGGCAGCAGCAATGTCTACAGAGGAGTGAGGGGGGAGGGAGAAAAAAGTATG